TTGGAAAAAGATATAAAGTAAATAAAACCGTGATTAAAGTTAATCTACATTGGTAGAAATGGACATAGGACAGACAACATTAATCTTCATCGCCTCGGTACTCGATCACTATCGCGGCCGTATTTCGATGAGTAATTCATGGTATTCGCGCCAAAATGTGCAAAGACGCGGCGACGAGACCGCAGTGCGAACACCAAGAGGTAGATTGATCGGGTTTTTACACGTTTGAATTAGACGGTAATTAAACTCATCTCGTATTTGCCACTGAATCCTCCGGCACTTTCGATACTCGTTTGTACATACGCGCGATTCGATCTCGACGCGGAAAGACGCGCGAAACACGCGGCGCGAAAGTCCAATATATATGTTGACTCACTACGCGAAGTCTCAAACTGCCGGAGTCAAAACAACAACGAGCGCGTGTTCGGATCATAAATGGAAGAATTTGATTATCTTTCTGTACAATTAGAATTCTCTCTACTTAGAAGAGAATGCAAATTAAGTATATGAACTATTAAGATATATTTATATACACACTCATTTGATTAATAATGAGTTAAATAAATACTATTACGTTGTTTTAAAAATGTCATGTTATTATAAATAACAATGCGTCCATTTCGTTATATTTTTCTACAATTTATCATACACCAACATTTGAAAACATTTTTAATAATATAATTATATAATTTTAATATATTGTAAGCTTATTTCAATAAATTGTATGTAACAATGAATTTTACATAATGTAAAAAATACAATCTAGAGATATAAATGTTTTTCCATTTTAATATTAATATATATCAATACAATTGATCCATTTACACTTCGTCAATTTTGTACACTGTCGCCAAGCATGGATACGCGGTGTTGACCAGTATAGCGAAATGTGAGTAAGGAGAGTGTTAGCACATGCCGCGGTAAGAATATATTGTTAATTTTAATTTATTATTATTAATTTTTCTACGTTGTCTGAGGCGTGGAAATAAATATATTAGAGATTACAGGAAAGCGAATTATACGGTCAGAAATTTCGTAGGAAGAATACACTCGATTAAACTTCGACTAATTTAACGAGTGACAGTTTGCATAATTTCGTTAGCATTATTACAGTTCTTATTAATTTTAATTGTTGAGATTATTAAGTTTTTGTTAACGTTGTCTGACGCGTGGAAGAGGATATTGGAGACCGCGGACGTATTGTGCGGTCGGAAATTTTGCAAGAAGCAATTCTGCCGATTAAATCAGGCAGAGTTCGATGATCGAAGCTGGATATTCACGAGACACCTGCACGCAGGTGGGCCTGAACATGAAACAAGGAAAATTGACGACATTCGCAACGTGCATATTCAAATGGAAGATAAAGTTTTTCCTGTGTATATGGACAAACCCGGTAACGGTTTCCATCGTCACGCATGTATTGCTTCTGCCGTTTCCGAACATAACGCGCTGCAACTTCGCAGCGCCCGTCAACGTATGTACAGACTTGCGTAAGAGATCTCGTCTTCTTCAGTATTACGAAAAGAAATTTGCTCGCTGATACATAACTGTTGTAACGTTACAGATAACAAATTGGAAGTATGAGCTGCATCCGCGTCCGAGATATTTGTGAATGAACTTGTTCTGGACGAAGTCGAAGACATTTCCAAGAGCTAAATACCAGGAGAATGATTATCAGAATGTGATATAAAAATCTATAGAATCTAATGCGCTTTCTAGTAATGCCATCTCGTACGTATCAGGTGCCGACATTATACTCGGCATTCGTAGAAGCGACATGTCTCAGCTCGAAATAATCTCAGCTGAAATAAAATATTCCTGATTGATTAAGACGAATATTTGCATATACATTTGCGTTGTGTGTATGTGTGTGTGTCACTTAATTACATTATTTAATTATAATTATTATATTATTTACAAAAGTTGTATTTCAATTATTTTAAAATCTAATAAAGTTCTTTGTAATCCTTTATATTTATATTTCCTATAAAAAAATCCATAAACATGAGGTCAAGTAACTTGTACTAATATTAAAATACTGACCATGAAATCCTGCTACACAACGTGGAAGAATCTACTTTCCGACGCATCTCCCCAATCTGCCGAGCTGCACTCAACTTTCTTTTCTGCCTGCAAAATTACTTAAGAGTATGCTACTTGTAGGTAGAGTACGATTGCCACAGTAATTTGATCTCGGCGTGGCCAAGATAATTACCCCAGTAATTGTTGTATTTAGAATAATCTAAATTTTAAAAAACTGTCATTATAATTTAATATAATTAATGCCTTCGAAATTAATTTTTAATTGAACTTGTGCTAATTTTAACTATAAACTCAACTTTAAATTAACAAGTTACTTTTTTGTTTATGCAATTTATAACGTACATAAATTAATTTTATAAGCTATTAAATTTAATTGTTTCCTTGTTCGTTTTCTATCGCCAATCAGTTGTTAGCAGATTTCATACAATTTCTGTAGCAGTTATGTCGGTATCATATGATATGATAGATCTTGTTGCTCCTCTTATTGAAAAGACATCCGAGAAACATTTTTCAAAATCCGGCTTTAACAGAATTAATTGTCAAATTGTGAGCAAAAAGCTCTGTCGCGTGATTACAAAATAAAATTTTGATATCACATACCACAAGACTTCACAAAGAAGTACTTTAAAAAGAGAAAGAAATATAAAAACTTTCGTATGTCTTTTCAAGTTTGATTATTTTATCGATGATGCTCGCAAAGGCAGCGTTTCGCTTTGGCGTTTACAGCGCCCACAATGTCACTTTATTTTTATTATATATATCAAATGTTAAACAAGGACAAATGATACTCACAAGTGCTGTAACCGCCAAACCGTACGCAAGCAAAGTGAACTCGGCGAACGAAGTGGTTGATCAAACGTAGGAGACGAGAACAATAAAAAGCCCGCAATCAAGATTAACGGAATTATGATTATTACTACTATAATATTAATAATAATAATTATATGCATTTATTTATTTATAAAAATTTATGCAATTTGACATCATTTTGACAAACTAAAATTTGATATTATTTTGATATCATTTTGATGTCATTTTGATCTTTCTGTTCTCCTTGGGTAACCGCGGGGACCCCTGCTCCAGATGTTGCCACCACGAACGCCACGTTCACTGCCACGGGTGCCGCCATTTGTGCCGCGCCTGTAGTCTGCACGTACCCCACGTTCATTGCTACCAGGGCCCCGTCTTCCGCGTCTGTAGCCGCGTACCTTACGTTCATTGCTTCTAGGGCCCCATCCTCCGCGTCTGTAGCCGCGTACATTGCTACCAGACCTCCGTTCCCTCCGTTCGTTGCCGCCGCTCCCGACGTCACCGCGTCTGTCGCCCGGCGCTCCCCCGACGTCATAGCGTCCGTCGCCGCTTCTGGCGTCACCGCTGCCACCGGCGTCGCAAACCTCTTCCTATAAAAAATATTATTATTATTATTATTATTATTATTATGAATATATCGTCTCTGTGGACGATTCAGTAGTTGTATTTTTTACTTACTTCACTAATGCCAATACTGATCAATGGTGGCACGCCATCATATTCTTCCGGATCCATGAAGTATCGGAAATCACGGAGTATCTTCCTCGTCTGCTCCTCGAGATCTTCATCCTCGGAGATGGCCAATGCAGCGCCAAAACCAACGACGTCCCACTCGTCGTCGTCGTCGTCGTCGGACGGCACGTTCCTGATGTCAAAGACGGGGTACGGATAACTATTATCGACCATCTTAAGCTGGCAACGTATATCGGTGAACTGAGATTTCGCCAAGCAGGAACAGGCGAAAACCAGTTGAGGCACATTATAAAAAATGTGAAAAAAAAACGTCTTGTTCTTGAAGTTAATGTCGCCAAGCAGGAACACGCGAAGAGCATAAATGCGCATTATAAAAAAATATCCTTGAGGATGACGCGAGTAGGAGGAATAGGCCGGTTCTAACTTGGGAGCTCCGAGGGGGGAGCGGGGCGGGGGGGGGAGATCTGCGCGGGGAATGACGTCACAGGGGTAACCGCCGAGATGTTTACGTAAACATGGGCCATGTATGTTTACGTAAACAATGATAGCGGCGGACCCTGTGAGAATATGAGAGGAGGGATGACATCACCGATTGTTTTCGCGAGGGTTGCGCACCCCTGCACCCCCCCCTCGCCGCACCCCCGCCGCACCCCCGCGCCGTCGCGGGCCGCGTTCGTGGGTCGCGTTTTCGCGCTCTCCCTCCCACGCGTTTTCGCGCCCATAGCGCGCTCTCGCTCCCACGCACGCTGTCGCGCCGCCGCCATGCTTACGCGCACGCGGTCTCCCTCGCGGTCTCACCATGGTGGAAGCTTTGACTATATAATCATGGACCGCTAACGCCAACTTTGGTAGCCAAGATCTGTGGTGACACCGTGTAGCAAAGCGGTAGTTGGGAGAAACAAAGGTAGCAGCCTCTGTAGCAGTATCTGGCACTTGGCAATAGAATTCCTTTAAAATTAATTTTTATTTTTACCATTTTTCTCAAAAACGGTACTGTTGTTTTGTGGAAGATTGGGAGTCGAAGAAATACTGCAAAAAAGATGAAATACATGACTCTAACCTGCAGTTTTACGGGTAAGTAAAAATTATACTTTATAACTTACACATTGTACTTAAATTGTATAAATACACAATACATTATAGTTATAATAAAGCTTTCC